TAATTGTTCTAAGTATCAGAAAAAATTCTCCTTAGTTTGATTGCTTCTTTCCTTGATGAGTTGTTTCTTGTATTGCCTTCAGATGCATTGGAGAAAAGACTGATTCCCTCTTCTTTATGGCAACCCATTAGATGTTGGAACATTGCTATCATGTCACCCCTCGTCCTTCTTTTCATTAAACTGAAGGTAAAGGTTCCCCTTGCACATATGTGCTAGTTGTTCCCAACTAGGGGGCGGTGCTCATCTCTGTTTCAAAGCCGAAGAGCCAGCACTGTCCGAAGACATTTCTGTGGTCATGTGGCTGGCATGACTAAACGCCAAAGGTGCACAAAACTCTGTTACCTTCCCACCAAAGGTGGTTCCCATTTTTCTACTTGTATTTTTACATGCTTCCAAACTGCCAGGTTGGCAGAAGCTGGGACAAGTAACAGGAGCTCATTCCATTTTGCAGCGCTAAAGATTTGAACTGCTGACCTTTTTAATTGACAAGCTCAGCATCTTAGCCACTGAGCCACTGTGTCACTTTCATAAAACTATACATACCAAATTCTAGCAATTGTTCTTTATATATATTTAGCCTCCAGTCCTCTAATCATCTTTGTTGCTCTTCTCTACTCTTTCTAGAATCTCAACATCCTTTTTACATCATAGCAACCAAAACTGGATGCAGTATTCCAATTCTGTGTTATAAGGCCTTATGGAGTGGTATTACACTTCATTTGATCTTGATTTTAATCGTCTGTAATGTAACCTAGGATTGTGTTGGATTTTTTGTCAGCTGCAGCATACTCCTGGCTCATATTTAAGTGATTGTCCGATAGGACTCCAAGATTCCTCTTACAATTACTACTCTTGAGCCAAGTAGCACCTATACTATACCTGTGCATTTGGCTTTTCTTGCCTAAGTGGATAATTTTACATTTTTCACCATTGAATTTCATTTTGTTAAATAGTACCCAATGTTCAAGTCTGTCAAGATCTTCTATATTTTAAGCCTACCTTCTGGAGTGTTGGCTATTCTTGCCAGCTTGGTGTTATCTGCAAATTTGATGAGTTCCCCATCTATCGCCTCATCTAAATAATTGATGAAGATATTGAAGAGTACTGGACTTAAGGCAGAGCCTTGGAGTACCCGACTACATACTTCCCTCCATATAAATGCAGGTCCATTGAGGACTACACGTTGAGTGCAGTTGGTCAGTCAGTTACAAATCCACCTGGTAGTGACGGATATGAAGTTTGGGTTTCTATTAACACAATATATTTAACTATACAATTCTAGCTTTTGCTTGAGTAATTAAATAAGGATTTTTAGACTTGGTAAAAACTTTTGTTAATGATTCATTCTGACTTATGATTCATGTTATATTGGCCACTTTAGTTAATTATTGAATATTGATTTGATCTTAAATGTGCTTTTTCAGATCTTAAATTAATGTAAGAGGCCAGGTAATGAAACAGGCCCTACAAGTTTGGCCAGAACTGTATTATATTGATGAAGGCTATTGACAGATGCTATCCTAAAAGCCCGAGTTTTCTCCTCCTTATTATACTCTAGTGAATTAGAGAGGGATCAGTGTTAGTGTTTTCTCATACTTTCTCTGTTTCTGGATTTAAAGCATGTTTTTGCAACCATGGTCTGTGCCTTTTTCAACAAGGTCATCTCCTTGGCTATCCCAAGTAGTGATCTAATGTTAACTTGAAATTTTAATTTAATTGTATGTAATTTGTACATTTCATTCCTACATTCTTTTTATCTGATTTTTGTATAATTCCTCTTGGCATATATCTTTAAATCTCTATTAAAACGAATAAATAAAATAATTAATATATTGCAAATCAATATATTGAAATAATTCATCTTCAAAAACGATTTTCTGATATTTGAATAATCCCATGTCCCCTCTACACCTTCTTTTCTAAAGTCTAAACATGTCCAGTTCCTTCTATCTTCATAGCGCTCAACATTTAACCACGAATCAACCTCTAGAGCACTCGTGGAGGTCCGATAGGTCTGAGTCGAAACGGGCACTTTTAACAGCATGCACCAAGGAGNTGCTTCAGCTGCTGCCGCCTAGCCGGCTTTCACTTGTTACATTGTTGCGAGTTATTGTTACAAATCCTTCAGCTTCTGAATAAACGGTTACAGTGTTTCACAAGAACCTGCCTGGTCTCTTCAGTTATAATAAAGACAACCTCATTTGGGGGAGTGGTGATCCATTGAATAGAGAGGGTGCCAGATGAATGACAGATAATGGAGAAAAGCTGACGAAGGTGAGTGGGCAAGCCTGTCAACAGAGTGGGTGCCAGACACTCCACCAACAGCAGAGATGCGTTGATGCAGGTGAGTTGACAAGCCAGTGTCTTCAGAGGGTGTGAGACACACAGCAGAAGGTGAAGCCAACCTGCTCCAGGTGAGTGGATGAGGCAGTGACCACAAGGGGCACCAGACAAACCAGGAGACAGCGAGAAGAGCTGATAAGGTGAGTGCATGAGCCAGTGATCAGAGGGGGCACCAGACACACAGGTTGTAGGTGAGTTGGCAAGCTAGTGATCAGAGGTGGTGGCAAATACACTGGCAGATGGCGAAGATAAGGTTATCTAGGTGAATGAGTGAATCAGCAATCAGGGCAGATGCAAGATGCAGATCCAGATGAGTGAACGAGAAAGTGACCAGAAGTGGTGCCAGATGCACCAGTAGATAGAGTATTCCAGGTGAGTTTTTGAGCCGATGATAAGAGGGTGCTCCGGACTGACCAGAAGAAAGTGGAGATGAACTGATCTAGGTAAGTACTCGAGCCACTGACTAGAGGGGTCACCACATGCACCAGTGGACAGTGAGGACAAACTGGTGTGGGTGAGTGGGCAAGCTAGTGATTAGAGTGGGCACCGGACACATGGCAGGTGGCGGAGGTGAGCTGATCCAGGTGAGTGGGTTTGCCAGTAATTGGAAAGGGCACCAGATGCCACAACAGACAACAGAGTCAAACTGATCCAGTTGAGTGGATGAGCCAAGGACCAGAAGGGGCACCAGACGCACCAGGAGACAGTGGAGAAGAGCTGATAAGGTGAGTGGCTGAGCCAGTTATTAGAGCCAGTACCAGACACACAAGCAGATAGCAAATGATATAGGTGAGTGGGTAAGCTAGTGATCAGAGGGAGTGTCAAAAGTACCCGCAGATGGAGGAGAGAAACTGATCTGGGTGAGTGAGTGACTAGACAGGGCACCAGATACAGCAGGCAGTGGAAATGAGCTGATCAAGTGAGGAGGGGACAGTGACCAGAGCAGGAGTGTCAAACTTGATTTCATTGAGGACCTCATCAGGGTTGTGTTTGACCTTGTCCCCCCTATGGGTGTGACCGGGGGCCCACTCATCCTCATTTGTTTAGGGGTGGCTGTGGTGACTTTAGTGATCTAGTCCCCGGGCCTTAAGTTTGACATCTCTGGACCACTCTGCTCCAGATGCACCAGAAGACAGTGGAGATCAGCTGATGTAGGTAAGCACTTAAGCCAGTGATCAGAGATGGAGCCAGACACACTGGGAAATGGCGAAGACAAGATGACCTAGGTGAGTGGGAAATTATTTTGCGACTAAATACACATTCCTAACCACATGTGATAAAATGAAGATACAGCCTAACTTTCACCAGTTGCATCACTGTATAAAGGGAGAAGCTTTTGGAAGAAAGCAGAAACTTCATCCCACATACTCAGGTCTGTTCACATGAGGTTAATTTATCATACACTTTACAGGGCATTCTCGTGCCATATTGAAAGTGGAGGTTTGTCACATAGTTAGCCAGTGATACATTATTCATGTATCTTATTAATAAAGTCAGAGTATCAATGCTGAAAAAAGTCACAAAAACCTTTTCCTGGTGGTTTGGTGAGCAGAGTAGTCTGAAACGGGGCCACTTTTTTCAAGGTAAGTTCTCTTTCTTCTTCCCCAGAAAAGGAAATTAAATAATTTCAGAGAACGCTTTCATTGGGCAAAGTATTCCAGTTTTACTGGCTTAATGTTGATATAAAATTGCATGAGTTCTTCACTAGCTAAAATGACAGTAATTTAATATGCCACAGTATTGGTTTCTAGCCAAAGTCTGACTGAAGTGATCTTTATAAAGAAAGGCATGGGTCTTTCCTCATCTTATGTATTTAACTTCTTAACTGTTTTTAATCAAAAACCAGATTGAAGTCATACAATACCAAATTAGAGTTAGAGTTATGAATAGCTGCCATGCAATCATAAATGAGGCAATATTGCCAATTTTTTTTGGAGAAGGTTGCTGTTTCTCATTATTTCCATCTTGTCTGCTGTAGCATTGTGGGCATAGTGTCAACTGTGGAAGAGAGAAACTTCAAGAAAAATGATGTCCCAAATTTCTATAGAAACCTTTAATATCCTTTAATAGCTCTGTTCTTTTTCAGAATGTTTGTTTGAGGACAGTATCATTTATTATTGAATTGCTGATTCCACAACTATCCAGACTGGATGTTATCTAGTATCAAGTCTTTGCTGTTTAGCTGGGTTATGTCTCTCGTTCCCTACCCAACTTTTCTGGTTAGAGCAGTGGTTCCCAAACTTGGCAACTTTAAGACTTGTGGACTTCAGCAGAGCTGGCTGGAGAATTATGGGAGTTGAAGTCCACAAGTCTTAAAGTTGCCAAGTTTGGGAACCACTGGGTTAGAGTAAAGTATTCTTTTAATTCTGTTGGGGCTTCAGGATATATTCTTTTTTTAAAATTCAATAACTATGTTCACATCTGTTCACAAGTCTAGGAGAAGATATATGCACAAAGAAAAGGATATACAGTCTTCCGCCTTCATTCTTTAAGCTTCCTCTGTTTACCAAAAGGTATTATTAGCTTATAAGATAGCCACAATATATACTAAGTAATTCATATGTAAAATTAGCTCAGTACTCTTCCTTCTAGTGATATGAATTATACCCTATGCCATATAAGAGACTAAACAAATTTTAAAATGGACTTCATAAGTTAAAATTGGTTAAATAAGACATCTCATTTTGTGTTTTCTCCAGAGTATTTTTGGTAAAGCAGCTTCACAATCTCCCTGGACATTATGGAAATAGAAAAGGTACTGCAGAAATGAAAAATGATGAAATATAATAACCACTGTTTAAAGATATGAAAACTGGATAACTATATATATTATTGATCGCAGTTTCAAAACAGGATTGAGTTAATGAGTTTTGATTTGTTAGCAACATCCAGACAACCTAATAAAGTAAGTTTCATTCCAAAGCAGAGGACTGCAGTTGCTCCATTCACCCCATGAAGCTTGATGAATGAGTTAATAAATGGAGGAAGAGGAGGTCATGGTGGAGGAGGAGGAGGAGGAGGAGGAAGAAGAAGAAGAAGAAGAAGAGGAGGAGGAGGAGGGGGGGGGAAGCAACTCCAACATGGCCAGGCATGTCAACGCTGACAATTTTACCTGTAAAAATGATTTATTTGTACTGTTTCTTATGGGCAACACTGTCCCTGTCTGCCCCTTGCCAAGTCTTAGCACCCCAACTAATCACCATAAGCTATCTTGTTCTGAGTGGAAGATGATGTTAAAGTGCACAATTTAATTAAAATATGAAAACATAAAGTTAATTAGCCATTATTTGACAAAAGAAGAAAGTCTTAGGAGCATATAAGAGAATATAAGAGAAACATTCATTAATTCAGTCTGAAAGACCAAGACTCTTACTTGTTAGATTTAAACACTTTTTAAAATAATATGCTGTAACTGCCCAATCTTATTTAGAAAGAAAACATTCACAGGGGAAATCATCCCCCAAATATTCTTCCGTTCCTTACATGAAACCCATTTTTTTCATACGGTACAGAATTCTGTGGCTTACCATTCCTGAAATTTGCAGAGTTACATAGCTCTTATTTAGTAACTCATGCAACATATCAGAGAGAGGTAACAGCATCACAGGATTAATTTATTAATTGGAACCAATAGTGGTTCCTAAGGAAGAGCACCTTAACAGATAATGTTCATTCCTCATCTAGCAATACCAATGCTAGAACCTGCAATGTATTATATGCAGTAGAGCAGATAGCAGTAGCAGGTAGACTTATATACTGCTTCACAGTGCTCTATAGCCCTCTCTAAGCAATTTACAGAGTCAGCCTATTGCCCACAATAATCTGGGTCCTCATTTTACCAACCTCAGAAGGATGGAAGGCTGAGTGAACCTTGACTCAGATAATTCACACCTGAGTTGCATCCCCATCTACGAGGTCCGCCAGCTTGATCAGAATAGGGACACCTCCACATATGCTCAGGGACAGTCATTTACATCAGCGGTCCCCAACCTTTCTGGCTTCATGGATTGGAAGCAGCGGCAGCAGTGGGGAAGAGGATGGTTTCACACAGCCAACCCAGCTCCTGCACAGATGAAGCTTTGCATACTCTTCTTCTGCTGATGTAAAACTAGTTCCCAATAGACCGGGGACTGGTACCAGTTCACAGACCGGGGATTTGGGACCCCTATTTTACATGATTTCCTGATCTGACTTGAAATAAAAATAATACGAGACAAGCATTGATTCTGTAGCATAGGTATAATTAGAAAAAAGCAGGTGTATTCAGATTTTGGTTGAAAATGTGCATTGTCGTCTCCCCCCACCCTCAAAGTTTTTTTTACATTTTTTTAAAATTAAAAAATAGTAAGGGATTCTGGAAAGTCTTAAATGTTCATAAGTTTCTACCACTGTTAAAATAGTGCCTATCCTTGTTATAAATTCTTCCTATAGCTTTCCTGGAGAGGATTTATAGAATTTTATACATACTATATTTCTCTTAAGAGCTAAAATACATTGGGTGCAAGAAACGTCATACAAAATCTTAGCACATCACAACCTTCTAAATTTGCAAGTAATTTCCAATTTACTGCAAGCCAAATCCACTTTTTCTTTGTTATGTCCTCCCCAAATGCATATCTACATTGATTGGGTGAACATACAATGTGAGTAAAGAAGGAGGGAGTGCAACAGATAGTATGTCTAACGAAGAATGAAAGCACAGGGAAACATATGCTCTACTGAAAATAGAGGTTCAGATAAAAGGAGGAAAGGCAGAATGTCTAAAACATTTTGATGCTTACAATACGCCAGGACTGGTTTGCAGCCAATGTTTTGCAATTGGGAGTTAAGTAACCCATAGCAGATGTTGGGGAAATCCTTGTGTGGTTGAGCTCAGAATTTCCTCCCATGCTATTGAGACATACTACATATCTTCTTAATGGAAAAAAAGACCTACAACAACACCAAATAGAAGAATCAGGTGCCAAAGAATTAAGACAATGATAATGGAAATAATTTTCACTGGATTATATTTGCATATTATCAACTGAGTGATTTTTTTTCATTTACAATTGATAATAAATTGAATGCCTGGTGATGTTTTTCTAAAGATTTGGATTTGAGAGTACAGTAATTCATAAAATGAGGAAGAAAGGGGTCTTCATGTTCTCTTTTATGCCCCCAGGAATTCACCTAATTTTGTAGAGGATTCAAGTGTCATGAAAAAGTTCCTAGTTCGTCCAGAGAAAGTAAGTAGAAAACAAGTCAAGCATTAGATATTGGAACATGTGTTGGAGTCAAGAACGATTTATTTTTATATGTATATATGTGTAGGAAATTACAAGTAGTCAGTAGGTAGAAAAAATAATTTGGAGTGGAAAAGTGACCTTAAAAAATGATGAGATTTTTTTGGTATAAGTTTCTTTTTCCCCAGGATGTTTAATGAATATTATTTTATTTTAGCAAAGCTGGGCATGAGAAGGAGTTCCATGGGAGACAGTTGCAAAAAATATGATGGCTACAGATATTCTTAAATTAATTTTTGTAAACCTTGCTATAGGTAGTAGCTTCTTTGAGCTATAAGAACTGGAAAGAATGTGTTTGGATATAGTAGATCTATAGATCTTAGATTTGTAGACGAGCATTTCAACCTCCTACTAAATTAAGAATGTAATGACAGAATGCATAGTATACAAGACAAATTCAGTCATTCTTCTCCTTTTCACATGTCTGATTACAAATAACCAATCTTGTGACAGAAGACATCTGTGTCTAAGGTAGATGGGCTAGTGAAATATGCATAGATAGAAGAAAGGATAAAAACAAAGAACAAATGATTAAAGGTAAAGGTAAAGATTCCCCTCGCACATATGTGCTAGTTGTTCCCAACTCTAGGGGGTGGTGCTCATCTCCATTTCAAAGCCGAAGAGCCAGCACTGAAGACGTCTCAGTAGTCATGTGGCTGGCATGACTAAATGACCAAGGTGCATGGAATGCTGTTACCTTCCCACCAAAGGTGGTTCCTATTTTTCTACTTGCATTTTTACATTCTTTCGAACTGCTAAGTTGACAGAAGCTGGGACAAATAACAGGAGCTCACTCTGTTACATGATGCTAGGAATTCAAACCACCGAACTGCTGACCTTTCTGATCAACAAGCTCAGTGTCCTAGCCACTGAGCTACCGCGTGCATAGATAGAAGAAAGGGTAAAAACAAAGAACAAATGATTGGTTTTGTAATCAGTCTTAATTAGAAATCCCTGGCTCACTATTCAGATAGTGATATTGTTGCAGAAAATCAGGAGATTCAGACTATGAGATCAAGAAAAAAAGCTTTATTTTGGCCAAAAGGCCAGACTGTGTAAACCCACATCTGACGTCTGAGCGAGGTTCTTAGGGAGAAGCGTGTTCTTATAACTTCCTCAAAACAGCTAACACGGAAATGTGCTAAATCATTCCTATTGGTTAGGCTCCTCATTCCTATTCCTAACCGAGCCGAGGTGGCGCAGTGGGTAGAGTGCTGTGCTGCAGGCCACTTCAGCTGACTGTTATCTACAGTTCAGTGGTTCAAATCTCACCGGCTCAAGGTTGACTCAGCCTTCCATCCTTCCGAGGTGGGTGAAATGAGGACCCAGACGGTGTGGGCGATATGCTGACTCTGTAAACTGCTTAGAGAGGGCTGAAAGTCTAAGTCTAACTGCTATTGCTATTGCTATCTATGTCAAGTCTATTGCAGGAGTGAAATGCTACTGGTTTGGGCCTG